TCCATTCCTTTTCATTAAATTTTGTTGTGAAAGATTCGTTTAAATGCTTTCTTCTTACATTACGCACTCTTTCAGAGAATTCTATACTCCATATACTTGATTTACTAAAGAACTTCTTTTCATCTCTCTACAGAAATCATTTCTGTTATCACAAATGATGGAAGAAACATAGTGGTACGTTTCAGTTTTTTTAACCCACAACACATGAGTTCTTGTACTAATTACAATTGTTTGCATTCAGGGAGTTCTAAAAGGTTTTGATCAAGCAACAAATATAATTCTGGATGAATCTCATGAACGAGTTTATTCCACCAAGGTAGGAAACTCTCATTGGTCTTTCAAAAATTTGATCTTTACATATGTTTTGTTAATAGGCTGATTCAAATGTAAAATTTTCTCCATTTCGATTATTAAATCCTGTTTTAACTTACAGGAAGGAGTTCAACAACTTGTATTAGGCCTCTACATCATAAGGGGTGATAACATGTATGTTTATACTTTCTAAGTTTCTTTTAATCACACCCATTTTAATGAGTTTACTTTTTATTCATTTAGAACACAAACCACCTAAATATTAATACTAATACTAATGATTGTTGTGCAGAAGCATAATTGGGGAACTGGATGAGGAGCTTGATGCAAGCTTGGATTTGGCAGAAGTGAGAGCTCATCCTCTAAGGCCTGTTATTCACTAATGATATGAATATGATAATCTTATTTTATTAAGTCATTTGTTTTAGGGGAAGTAAATGTGATGTACTTTTAGATTCTGATACATGAAAACTGAAGTGGTTGCTATTTGCTATTTGCTATTTGCTATTTGCTAATGCTATGTATTTGTTTTAGCTTTTGGTTGAAACTTGTTTGAAACATGTTAATTATGTTGATGGCTTTGTGTCTATTGATAAAACAAATTTGAAAAATTAAACTTGTGTATCAAAATGAATGTGATCGATAATTGCTAATAGGAAAACGAGTAGATTTGGATTAGAAAAACGCTCTTGTGTTAAACAACTCAAAATACAAAGTGTTTGATGGATATTGAGATTTATCAAATATACACATTCTCTCACTCATACTACATATACTTGCATATGTTAAAGTATGTTATTTTAACAGCAAAGTTATATTAAGACTAGCAAGATGCTAGGACAAAGGAGTTACAAATAGTTTATAACATTACAAAGATTGTTAAGCCATCCAACTCAATTGATTCTAAATTTTGTTACTCCAATTAAAAAAAGCAGAGAAAACTTTTAAATAGCCCAAAGTGTCGTTAAGTGAGCAAGAAAAAAAAAAGTGTGTTCCATTGATTCAACTCTCAGGCCACAAGTGTCACAAAGAAGGATATGAATGTCAATATCTCCTTTGTCAAGATTCACTTTGACCAGTCATCCGCTACAAGAGTATATTTATCAATTAATTAATTGTCTTGCATATGTTAAAGTACATTTATCAATTAACTGTATTGCGTATGTTAAAAGTACATAGACACGCTTGTGACATAAAAGATATATATAGGAGTGGGTATTGGTGATGCTATAATATATTGAATTAGTCGCAATTAGTGATGGATGGATCTCTAATATAATAGTGGCTGCCTGATCTTTATGGTATGCATAGGAGTTGTTGAGATTATGATATTCCCTCTTGCCTCACAATAAACAACCATTTTCATTTGTATCTAGAATTAGATCGAGTCTAAAGTAATCTGCTCTAAATTATTTATTTATTTATTTATTTTTGTATAGATAATAATGATAATACCACAAAATTACATGGTTGGTCTGTATAATTTCTATAATTTACCAGAACTAACATAGTTAGGACAACTATCAAAATATATGTATTTGTTCGTATAATTTTAATTTCTTACATGATTGATTCTTATGCTTTCATTTTTTTTTTCAAAATTGAGCTGAAATTATTCATTTAACTGTACTATGATATTTTTTTAATTAATTTTATTTCTTTTTTTATATTAATATAATTTTTTATTAAAAAGTTACCCCACCTCATCCTAACCATAAATCCAACAACATTTTTCATATTTCTCTCTGAAAAACTACTATCTTCCATCTCTCAAGACTTCAGCCACCACCACTTTCGGTCGTTGCCTTGAACCTGTACCACCACTACCTCAACTACCACCAGCCTATCACCTCCTTAAACATGCACATTGCCACCAAAAGAACTAGTCGTCACCATTAACCCCACCTTAATCCTACCATTATATTCCTCTGTTTGCTTTAAGCCCATTTCACATAGTCCCTATCTACTCTTCTTCTTTATCTCTCAGTGGTAAATTCGACTACCATCGTTAGTAAATCTCGTTGCTACCATTGGACTCACTGCACAGCCATACCATTTTCCCTTAACCACCACACCGACAATATTTCCCTTTAACCTCATAGAACAACCAACGAAACCCGCCAACCATTGGCCAACCAAAATCAATATAAGGCACCACTGATCTATGCAAGCCAAACACGATCTTGGTTCCTCCACCATCACTCGAACTGATCATCAGACTCTTTCCATCATAAGCCTTAGGTTCCAATGGGCATAGCCATCACCGACACATTCATTACCTCACCATCCATCATCATCATCATCATCATCATCATCATCATCTTTCTCTCTTTCATGTGCTTTTTTTATAGATTTTTTTGCCACAGATCTAGGGCTCCACCATGCAAAACCTCTGGTAACTGTTGCCTCCCACTTGGAAAATCTTCAGTGATTGATCCTTCACTTGGTACTCGTCAGGATGAAGGGAATAAGGGTGGTGGAATGGTGGGGGGTTAAGGGTGTTAGCCTAATAAGATTATGGACTTTATTTTGTATTTGGTCTTATGTTGGCCCATTAGCTAGAAAACCCTAATTAGCTAGTCTATATATTCTGTCTTTTCCTTTCATTGTATATTGTACTTCTCATTTGATAATAATATGAAACCCTAGCTGTTTTATATCTTGTTAGTTTTCATGGTATTAGAGCTCGGTTGATAATCTATATTTTTATTTTAGGGGAGAGTTATGGCAGGCACAACACTATTCACATTACTGTTTACGTGCATTGTTCATCGACACTTTTCACGTACTGTTTGAAATTTTGGGTATGGTTTTGTTTCTTGTTTCTGTATTCTGTTTGATTTGATTTGTTCATTTCATCGATTTCGAGGGTTTCATTTCGTCTGTTGGTTTTGTTGATTTTGAGATCTTGATTGTTGCTGTTGATACTCGTATTTACTGCTATTTTCCTTTGACTGATATTGAAATATAGCCCCAAGAGATGGTTCTTTTTAGTCCATTAGTATTCAAATCGATGACAAAAACTATGCTTATTGGAGTTATGTTACAAAAAATTTCTTGCGAGGCAAGACTATGTGGGGGATTGTTACAAGTGACAAGAAGAAACTAACAAACGAGAAGGCTGCTAATTATGCAACCTTATTGGATTCATGGGAGACTGATAACTCCAAGATCATTACTTGGATTAATAATTTTGTTATTCGGTCCATTGGTACTCAGTTGGCGAAGTATGACACAGAAAAGGAGGTTTGGGATCATTTTGTTAGGTTGTATACTCAGTCTAACTTTACAAAGCAGTATCAGTTAGAGTTTGATATTCGTGCCCTCCAACAAAACAATCTTAGTGTTCAAGAACTTTATGTAGTTATATCAGATTTATGGGATTGGTTGGCTCTATAGAACATGATGTATCAAAGGCTTTTAAGCCCTATATTGATAGAAGGGAAGAACAATGTTTGGTTCAGTTCTTGATGGCATTACGTTCAGATTTTGAAGGCTTGCTTGGATCAATCTTGCATCACATACCTCTTTTCACTATTGATTCAGTTGTTCACAAGTTGATTGCTGAAGAAACTCGTATCAAGTCCCATGCTGACAAATGTACAAAGACATCCACTCCTGTTGTCTTTGCTGTTCCACAATGACCTCAGTCTTCAAATCAAAATCGTCCCAAAGTTGCATTTGATGAGTATGATGTATGTAAGAAGAAGAACCATTAGAAGGCAAATTGTCCTTCGCTGATGGGCAAGGGAAATCAGCATCAACAACAAACGAGATCAATGCACAGTCTCAACCTTCACAGCAAAACAGTTCTTCTGGACGTCCCTCGTTTCCATCCTTTAAGCCACCACAATACATTGCTTATGCAACTTCAATTGAGAATGAAATAAGTTTTACACCACCATCGGCCTTGGATCCTCAGATTGGTGAGCAGTTCAAACAGTTCATTACTGCTAATAAGATTATGGACTTTATTTTGTATTAGGTTCTTATGTTGACCTATTAGTTAGAATATCCTAATTAACTAGTCTATATATTCTGTTTTTTCTTTTCATTGTATCTTGTACTTCTCATTTCATAATAATATGAAAAATTAGACGTTCTATATCTTGTTAGTTTTCAAAAGGCAATATATAATAGGGTTCAACTTTAATTTTCAATTTTTAGTTGAAATAGTTAAAATATATGAAAGAAAAAAATTAAAAAGAGTAAAAAAAACAATAACTATTTTTATAAGGGTGAATGACTAACTACACAAACAACTAGAAACCGAAAACACTGGACATACTAGAAACTAAAACAACATGGACAAACACATCGTTTTGATTGTTGTCACAGAGATTTTTTATAATAATAATAATAATAATAATAATAGTCGTAATAAAAGAAAATAAGAATCCATGTACAATCTTAATTTAGTTAACAAATACCGGCCAATCATATACCACGAGTTCATTAAAATTAACATATTTATTTCTAAGACATACCAAAGGAAGACATACCAAAGGAAGTCTACTTAATCTAAAGAACTCAAAAATGGAGATAACTTAAATGAAAAATGATCTTTATTATCTCAAATATACATAGGTATAGTGCAATAATGTAAACAAAATACGAGTATACATATATAGAGAGAGAAGGGAGGAAAAAACCGATCTACGATCCTCCACTTTCTCATGAATATCGAATCAAGAACTACAAAATAACACAATAATAATAATAATCAATACAATAAATAATAAATGGAAAGAATCATAGCTTAAACCTGAAACTGCAGCTACTATCCCTGATCCTGATAACATTATCAGTAGCCAAAGTATTCACATTCACTCTACACCTCACAATCGGCTTCCACTTCGGCAGCTTCAGCTTCCCAAGCTTAATCCTCACCGGAACTTTAGCTCTCAAAACCAGCGGCACAACTCCGGTCTGTATCTGCGCCTGCAACGAATTCAACAACCCGGTGGCGTCCTCAGCTTGTCCCGTCATCGGAATGTTCAGCACCGTCGTGTTCCGGTGACCCTGATAGAACTTCGGAAACGAACCTTGACATAGAGTCGTTCCCATGTAAATCACCGTCAACCTTGATCCACCCTCGTATGAGATTCCGATCTTCGTGTTAGGGTTTCTTGCTGTAATGTTGACGTTAAACTGAGCGGATAAGGTGTTGTCGTTGTTCGGATTGAACTGGGTGATGGTCATCCCGTCGACGGAGTATTTCGGGAGTTTTGGATCGAATCCGAAGTAGATGATTGCTGCTAGGATTCCGACGATCATGATTAGGATGAAGAAGAAGCAAAGTATGCAGCATAGGAAGCGGCGGCAGCAGTGTCGTTTCTTTGGTGGTTTGGAGTATTGGATCGGGATTGTACGCTGGTATGGTGGTTGTGGCTCCGCCGGATTTCCGTGGTCGGACCTGGATGAGCCTCTGGGCACCAATGGCGCGGTGGGTTTCTGTTGGGATTCCAAGTCGGTCGCCGGCGTGACCGGGTCCGGGTGGATTCTCTGGTGATCGGACATTGGAATGTGAAGAAGAAGATGAAGAAGATGAAGTGAATGTGAATGGGTTCGAGAATGAAGCAAAGTCGGATACTTTTTTTCTTCTAAAATGACGGAAACTTTCGTATTATATAAGACTTGTGAATGAACAAGAGTAGATAAAGTCATATGGAAGTAGACTTTTCTAAAATTGACCTTGCACTATGCATCGATTGACATTTTGTACCTTTTACTTTGAATTTCGTTTTTGTTGTCTAAAATACCCAAATTAAGTCCTAATAATGCTCAAAATAAGGGAACAAGTGTTTTGTAAATGGTTTGGATTTTTTATTTTTAAATTAACTAAATATTAGGATTGGTTTGTTTCTTATAAAAAACCATATAAAAAAACTAACCGAATAGAATACCAAAATGCCTCTTTATGTATATTTGTGATTCATTAAATATTGTAAAAATTAAATTGATTAACATATTTCTATGATTTTCATTGCAAATTAAAATATAGTGCATATCGTTTTGTATTATTTTTTGTATAGTTTTAGTTATTTGTTAAATTTTATTACCATGGTTGATGCATAATAAAAAAATAGTTATAAAAAAAACCAAAAATAACAAATAAAATTTTTGGAAAGACAAAACATTACGGTTTTTCAATGTCAAAAATTAAAATCCATGTCAAGATATCATGTAGATCTTTTCAAACTGTTTGCCGTAGATATAGACCTCTTATTAAATACATTTGTAATGATGATCTTATTTAAATGATTATTTCAAATAATAATAACAATTAACAAATACAATATTAAAAATTTATATTTATATATACAAATATAATTGAAGTTACCATGTTAAAATACATTCACACGTTTGCCCCTATGTACGTGTCATCCGTAGAGTTGATCCAATGGTTAATAATTTTAGATGAAAAAATGAATCATGAATGGGTAATTTTGGTAGTTTGGACCATAAGTAAGAAATGCATACCACGTGACTAAACGCGTTTGTTGTTTGAAAATGAAGGGATACGTTTTGTAATTCACTCAAAGTAAAAGGGTCGGAAGCTTCCTTGTTTGACTATATAATATATACGAATTTGTTGGGCGATCTCTTTCCTGGTAGATTTCTATACACGGCTTGGTTAAATAGTGTTTACATATTACATATATCAATGCTTCGGTTGGCTGATTCCACCGTTTTAAGTATTGCATCGTTGGGTTGTACTGTACAACTTTAGAAGGCACTCGTACAACACAGTAATGCGTGAAATCTTTCTATGTAGGTACAAATGAATGTTTTTTTTGGGTTAGCTACCCTAAAGACTTGGTGCCTTTTTTTGTGCATTTAATTTCAAATATTGACGCGTGCGTTTACTTTTTTTTTTTTTTTTTTTTTTTTTGAATATGAAAAATATCTTAGTGTGACATGTTTTTACGGTTTTATGACAATAAAATCATATATTTTTGTGTTCGAATATCACGTATAAAAAGTATTAAATATCATAAATATTATTATAATTAAATATAAAATTTATTTATTATAAGAAATATTGTCATAATTAAAATAAAATATATTAATAATTTTCATAATAAATTAATTTTATATTTAATTATGATAATATTTGTAATATTTAATGTTTTTTATATGTATTTTAGGATATATATTAGAAAATCCTTTTATATATATATATATATATATATATATATATATATATATATATATATATATATATATATATATATATATATATAACGTTAAATCATCATAAATTGAAACATATATTTAGAAAGTGATTCATATACAATAATTTTGCATTCTACAGAACAATAATATATATATATATATATATATATATATATATATATATATATATATATATATATATATATATATATAAATTCTGGTGTACAACAAAATTGATTTGTACGAATAATTATTCATAGAAAACCTATTTATTTACGTTTGTTTTTTTCTTAAATTGTGGAAGTTTGTTAAATAAATAAGTCATAAACTTTATTGCGAAACATACAAACAACACCTAGACATCATGCCAACAAAATCACAAGTCAAAATTATCACTAGTTATTAATAAGTGATTTGAGTGTAACGTTATCTATAAATAATATTATTTAGGATATACAAAAAGAAATAAGGTAACCTACATAAGGACAATTAAAATAAGAAATAACACATCATAATTTATCGCCTCAAACCTTAATAACTTTTAAATTCCATAAATAGTCCATTGCATGTTTCTAGAACTCTTAACAATAAACAATGGTGTCACTTGGGTTCCTTTTTTTTTTTTTTTTGTTCTCAGAAAGCATTTCGGCGTCCTTTTTTTAATGATGGTTTCGCACCTAGAACTTAGAAATTCCCTTTCGTGAAAAAAAAAAATCGTATTAGCAATTTAAACTAACTTTGGATTATTAATTTTAAATTGGTCAACACGTTTTTTCGTATGTTGTTTATCAAAAGACAATTTAAATATTCTATTTTTTAAGTAATTTTGTAAGAAGTTTTAGAAAGAAAAAGTAATGTTGACACTTGATAAATATATACCCATACAAAAATTATTAATTAAAAAAAAATGATGTAATACTACAAGTAGCAGCCTCATGTATGCTTTGTCCAGATATGTTTGAATTATTCAAGTTTAACCTGGGAAGCTTTAACTTCCTCTCGTTTTCTCTTGATAGATAGCATCTTAAAAAAAAATTAATTTAGAATAACAAACACCCAATTAATAATTTTCCTTTTTTACAAGCAAAACTAAACTAACGTAAAACATTTAATTCTATATACGTTCATAACAAAACTTGAACCTTTAATCTCAAAAAATAATAACAATACATAATACCGTTTAAACTAAAAACCCTTTGATTTCTTTTAATAGTTACATTTCCATTAAACTAAAAACCCTTCGATTTTTTTTAATAGTTACCTTTCCATATTTTAAATATTTATAGAGGACAAAATAACTAAATGCTTCTTGCATTTTATTAACAAAATTAATATTAATGATAGTTACGCATGATTAAATTAAAGAGTAAATGGCACAAAAATCACTATCTTATTATTTTTTTTTTTCGATTTTGACACTATGCTTTTTCAGGTTACAGTTAAATTACTATGTTTTAATTTGTTGCAATAATGACCAGTTAATCAGGTTGTTTTAGGTCGTCCGGTTGTCACTGTTGACATGTCCGAAACGAAAAAAGTGGAACAAAGACACCATGTTTAAATTTTTTCCTGATTTTAACACTAATTTTTCAATATTTTCCAATTTTGACACTAAGTTTTCGATGTTCTCTAATTTGCAACATAAATGAAATAAACAAATCCAATTTCCACCACCATCAATGAAAATATTTGTTTGTATATAGTTTTTGTTTATTTTATATTTGTAAATAAAATTTGAACTATAAACCCTTAATTTGTCACATTATATATCATTTAGGTTTCACTTATTCCTTGATACAATACTTTTACTGACTTTTTTGGCCCTCCTTCCTCGCTTCTCTAACATTGTCTTGTGTATGTAAATAAATTGTTTTCATAGCTCAAAACAATGTTTGCCTTTTGGTTATAAAAACATTTCTAGTGCATGTTTCTTGACATAAGATTAAACTATATATGCATTTAATTTGATCTTAAAACAAAAAGAGAGAACCATGAATTTAATTAAAAGGAAAAAAAAATAAAGAGACAATTAACGGTCAACTTACGCTTTGCTGGCAACATAGATCGCAATGCAAAGGTACAACAATGGTAGCACCCAAACCAATATTAACAATGACATGTGTTTTCCCTTTAATCATTCCTTCAATCACATCTGTTATTACTAAATTCATACCTACCCGATTACTTTCATCACATTCATCCAAAATACCCACGCTCGGTTGTATCACCATAAATCACCTTTTGCGTCTCTTAACTCCAGCCACCATATTCTTGCCGGAAAATTTCTCAGTGAAAATATTGATCTTGGTGGTTGTGGTGCATCGATACAATCGCATCAAAAACTTCTTTTAGCTTGGATAGGTTTCTGCTAACCAAGATTAGGTGAATACCCTTTTAAGTTAGTTGGAGGGTAAAGGCTTTGCCGATGCTTGGTGGTGATAACCCATAAACCTTAGGGTTTTAGGTTCTTGGATGGTTAGAAGAAAGTGATGAAAACACATTTGAGGAGAGTGATAATGAGTTTGAAAAGAGAAAGAAAATCAAGTAAAAAGAATGGACCAATTATGTCTTTGGATATGTTTTATATTCTTTTTTAATCTATTGTGCATAGTTTATTATATTATAGGGTAAATGGAGCAATTATATATTTTCATATGTTTATTTCATTTATGTTGCAAATAGGAGAAAACTGAAAACTTAGTGTCAATTGGAAAAAATTAAAAACTTAGTGTTAAAATCACAATAAATAATAATAATAATAATAATAATAATAATAATAATAATACAATGTCTTTTGCGTCACTTTTTTCCGCTTCTGACACGTTATCATACCATGACAATAGCGACAACCGAATAACCTGAAGCAAATTGGTCATCTAGTCATAACTACGATAAATTAAAAACATAGTGACTTAATTGTAACAGAAAAAAATTGTGTAAAAATAAATAAATAAAAAAATAAAAAATTAGTGACTTTTGTATCATGTACTCTAAATTAAATTATGAACGAATAACAAGAAAAATGTAACAAAATGAATTATTATATTCTATCAGCATATTTTGTCATCTTGAAAAAATGAAATAAATCAATTAAAATTATGGTTTGTTACGTATAAATAGGAAAGTTAAACTGTTATGAAAAAATAGAAAGTTAAATAAATGTAAAACTATACTATAACCCAACAAGCTTTAGTATATTGGTTAAAATGGTCACTCGTGATTTTTTTTTTTTTTTTGCCTTTTAGGGGTACGTACTTGTGTTTTACCGTTTTAAAAGGTCGTTGTAAAAAATATGAAGGGGTCACCCGATGAACCCCTTCCTAATCATCAGTTTTGATATGCCACAAGGCATTTGGTTAACTGAAATAGTCCACGTGGAGCCTATCTTCCTAATATCCTCATTCTCCCCTAAATTCAACAAATCAAGCACCAAATCCACCCGAAACAAAACCACATTTGCAACCTTGGCTCTCGATAGGCTTATGATTCTACTTAAGGTGGAGACTGTGCCACCAATAACCGTCGAGACAACATCACCAGCAGCTACCAATAGTTAGTATGCCGACAAATCAAGGGAGGAAGCGACCGTCGGCAAATCAAGGGATGAAGCGATCGCAATCAGGATTCAAACCACCTACATCGCTACCCTAAAAAATACTGGGGTCGCCCTCAGTGATTACGCCCTAGGGGATATCCAATTTCCCGATCATCTCCACATAACGCCCTAGGGGACTTCTTTTTTACGTAAATGGAGGGCGTCATTGGGTCTGAATTGGCTGAAGTTGATGGAAAGGGTAGCAGAATCGGGAAACCTGAGATTCAGGAGAGGACAATGGTGGATGATAAGAGTGAAAATGACGATGGTGGTGGTTAGGGATGAAAGTAGGTCCAAACCCGGACCGGATGGACCCGGACCCGGAAAACCCGAAACCAGTTAACGGGATTTTTTAGAACCGGAAACCGGTTCGGCATATAGGAACTGGTTCCAGGTACGGTACCGGGTAAAGTGGGTCTAGAACCGAAAAACCCGGAAACATCAAAGTGGGTAGGTGGAACCGGATAAAGTGGGTTTAGAACCGGAAAACCCAGAAAAACCAGAATTTTTTTGTAATTACTTACTACTTAATGGGTTGAACTTTGAAATTTTTCATATTGAAATCCCAACTTTTGGGGACTGTAACTCATTGAATATGAAACCAAAATTAACAAAAATATAATCTAAAATCATGTACAAAATCTAATATACACTCTGGAAAAAACCGCATGTCAATCCAATTTTAAACAAATGAGATATGCATGTATTAATATTTTCACTGAATACAAAGTACAAAAACAAATAGCTGAAAATTTGAAAATTTTCAGTTTTGATATCCTGACTTCGGAAGACTGTAAATCATTGAATATTAAACCAAAAATAACAAAATTATAGTCTAAACTCATGTCCAAACTATAAACTACAAGTTGAAAAAAACCACATATCAATCCGACTTCAAACGAATTAGATATGTATGTTTTAAAATTTTCACCGAATACAAAAAAAAAACCTGAAAAACTAAAAAAAATCCAGCTTTAATATCTTGACTTTGAGAGGCTGTAAGTCAATGAATATAAAACTAAAAATGTCAAACTTATAGTCTAAAATCATATACAAACTCTAAACTACATGTTGGAAAAAACCGCATGTCAACCGGAGTTGAAACGAATGAGATATGCATCTTTTAAACGTTTCACAAAAACCAGTTCCGGCCCTAAAAGTGGTTCCGGTTCCTAACATCGGTTCTGGTTTTTTGACCCGGTTTACCCGGACCCGATGGAACCAAACCCGGATAAAGCCAAATTTTAAACCCGAAATCGGAACCGGTTCTATATATTCCGGTTCTAACGGTTCTGGTTCCGGTCTGATTTTTCGGTTCTAAATCTCATCCTTAGTCTAAAATCATGTATAAACTCTAAACTACATGTTGGAAAAAAACGCATGTCAATCAGAGTTGAAACGAATGGGATATGCATCTTTTAAGCGTTTCACAAAAACCGGTTCCGACCCTAATAGTGGTTCCGGTTCCAAACACCGGTTCCGGTTTTTAGATCCGCTTTACCCGAACCCGATGGACCCAAACCCGGATTAACAGGAACCCGGATAAAGCTAATTTTTAAACCCGGAACCGGAACCGACTTTATATATTCCGGTTCTAACGGTTCGGGTTTCGGTCCGGTTTTTCCGATTCTAAATCTCATCCCTAGTTGTCGTCATCGGGCAGTGGTAGAGAGTGAGAAAGAACCACCACTATCATCCATGAAAGAAGATGTGCAGAGTATAAACTTGTTGCTGGCAATTACAGAGATCAAATATGGTTTTGTGAAAGCTTTTGAGAGTGCTCATGAGGTTTCAAAGATTCTTAAGGCCAATATGTTGCAATACCACACTCATTATACAGATAACATTGGTATGTATTCGAGCCATATGGTTCCTTGTTGCAATACCACACCATATCTGTTTAGGTATATATTTTGAGGTTCAACACATCTGTTTAGGAGTTGTTAAATTGGTTGTAGCCACATTAGATGGACCTTTACCCACAGCCACATTAGATGGACCTACAACTCCCGTCGGAGCTCTGAGTAGCACTTTAGCTAAACTCCAAGCAAGTCCCAAATTTCGTAAGCTTCGTGAAGCTGGAAAGGTGATTGATGGACTGATTGATTAAATTTCACCATTAATCGATCGATTGATTCTGCAATTTAGTAAGAATACTTGAATATAAAATTCTTAATATGTGAACAGAGCATCACGAAGCACATTGGACCTCAAGCCCATGAAGTTACAACGAAGGTGGATGAGTATGTGAGGGGAATGATTAGTGTTAGAGGGTCGAGATTGTTTAAGGAGCACAGGTTATAATGGACACAATGTTGAAGATCTAGTCACTTTGAAAAAAGTCAAGTCAATGCATGCACTTAATTCTTATAACTTGTGAAAAAAGTCACGTCATTAAGAATACCAGTAATAACAAGTCTTGGCCCTTTTTTAGCTGGTAAAAATAGACTTTGTGCCCCTAAACTACCAAAAAAAAGTCACGATGGACCATTTATACCAATATACTAAAGTTTGTTGGGCTACAATGATAATAACTCATAAAAAATTATATTTAATAAAAATAAACTTTAATTAAATATTATTATATAGTTAATAGATTGTATATAAGTGCTTGCTAACTATTTTAGGTTGAGGTGTGTGGACGCGAGGCTACAAAAAAAATAGACTATAACTAGAGCGCCATTTTTACGTAGAAGCATTTCTAATCATTGCCCTTGTATTGTTGGATCTAACATTTAGTTTACAAAGATATACCCTTTAAGTGAATATTTAAATATTAAGTACTAGTTGTGAGATCTATGTATTACATGAGTTAAGTTTAAAAAATATATATATAAATCTCAAAATATTTAAGAACTTTGAATTTATAAAAAAATAAAAAAAAAAATGAACTATTATAATAGAAATATTTTTTATCTTTTATTTAAATAAAAAAAATTAATGAGCTTTAATTTTGAGAATTTTGAAATTAAAAGGTAAGTTTATTAATGAAATTGATATCTATTTATCATTATATTTATTTATTGCAATTATTACATATAGAATTTAATAAAATGGAAAAACTCATAAAATCACATGTGGAAAAAAAATAATTCAAAATAATCATAAAATGACATTTGCCAAATTGAATGAGAGTGTAACAAGTAGCAAAAAAACATTCATTTATTAGAGAGGATTTTGTTAAAGGAATGTTAAATATTAAATGTGTAAATATTAAATATTTTTTTAAATAAAATTTTAAAATAAATACAAAAGAAATGAATAATTAAATAATTCAATTTATACTAATAAAATAAAAACTACCGAAAAATAATTATATTTTCGCCTTATCTATGATTTTTTTTATCAATGAAAATAATACACAATGAATTTTGTAATTTTAGTAAAATATAAGTCATAGTATAATTAATTAAGACAACTAGTGGTAAACCGGACGAGACAGCTCACGAGAAACTCAAGTCTGACTCGGAAAATACTCGAAATCGATTCGACTTTAATCGAACCAAGTTTAATCTCGACCTACATGAGTACCTTATCGAGTCGAGATCGAGTAGTAAAATACTCAGCTCATAAAACCGGTGAGCTTAATCGATTATTTATAAAATTACATTTTTACCCTTTAAATATTTTAAATTACTAAAACATTTCAATACTTTTAGCTTTTAGGCGTAGATTAAGAAGTAAGGACTTCAATTGCATTTCAAAACTGTTGAGAATGTTTCTTTTTTGTATTTTGGATGTATGTAAAATGAAATAACATAGATGGTTGATGGTATATTGACATTAGTGGTTTGTTGTGAATTTTTTGTTATTTTGAACAGTATAAAAGTTTTGAAATGTTTTTAACATTTGATGATTTTATTTTTTTTATTTTTATTTTTTAATTTTAATCGAGCCGAACTGAGCTCGCGAGTTGAGCTCGATGGTATCGAATATTAAAGGAGTTGAGTCTGAGCTTCAAATTTAGGCTTGAGGCGAGTTCGAGTCAAGCTTCGAGCTTGGGTATTTTAGGCGAGTTGAGCTTTGAGGTTAGCACTATTCGGCTCGACTCGACTCGTTTACACGCATATATGCAAGGTTACAATAAAGTGTCTAGGATGCAAATGGACTTTCAAACTACTTGTATTATTTCCTAAGTTATTATTAATAAATTAAAGATCAAAAGTAATGCCACTCAAAAGACAGATATTACCTCAAAGGAACTGTGTATGTTTGGCGTACTAGCTGAAAAGTTAGAAGTTAGCTGAAAAATTAGTTGATAGCTGAAAAACTAGTTGTTAAATAAAAATTTAGCTGATATATGAAAAACTAGTTAATAAGAAATAGCGTTTGGTAAAATTAACTGAAAAGCTAGTTGAATGATATAAAAAAACATAAAATGACATTTAAAAGAATATGTTTCCATAATTAATTAATGGGTATATTTGTAAAAAAAACAATTAAAAAGCTCTTAAAAATTAGTCTCATTAGTTTTTTAAATTATTAGTTATTTTTTTTATTGTCAGGATGACAACTTAAAAAAACTAAAAATAAAAATAAATTAACTCGTTATAACGCGTCAAACACAACCTAAATTATAACCTCGATGATGAAAGAGAAAAACCAACCCAGAGAAAGTCTCTTTGACTCTTTTGTATGCATGATAAGATCATGTGAAAAAAAGATTTGAACATATTTTGATGAAAAAATTATATTAATGTATTACAAAATAATAACAGTACAGTTATGTTATCTTTAGTCAGTTGTCTAGCGAGACATGAAACATTTTGTCTTACAAATAAAAATAAATTTCACACTTTTCATTTAATCAATGTAGATTTTAAAAGTTAAAGTCGTGTTTTTGTTATTTAGTGCGCATAAATTTCAAAAAGAAGTAATCCATTTATCATGATGAAAACATACGTACTTCTTAAATCTTTTAAGAAAAATAACTTTCACACGATTTAGAAAATAGCCAAACACGTTATATTATCTCTATAAGTTATTATATGGATGAATAAAATCAAATATATTGCATTTAACACTAAAAGTTTAAAAATATTTACGTACCTTAAATAATTAATTATTTTTAATTGTAAAGTGATTTGGTGTCCAACTCTTTCTTTAGATTTAGCCGTTTGGTAATCGGGTCTCCAACATGTATCAATTATTGTTTAAAAACACATTACTTTTCGATTTTTATATTTGGACATAACCTATGCTTTAATAATTATATATTTATATCTGTTTTGGCTAATTTTAATGTAATAAAATTAACAAGTATTGTTGATATTGAGCTTAATTCACAATTTCTTTTTATTATTTAAAACTAGCTTCGACATCTAATAAATAGATAATCAAACATTTTAGTAAATCAAAAACTTGAAGAAAAAAAAAAAACTGAATCTTACAAAAACCTTTCAGCATTTTCAATAATTTTACACTTTGTTCCTAAACAACCAACATACAATGCCTACATCATCTTCGATTAAAAAGCCCCTGAATAAAACCAGCTGCTCCTCGCTTCTTGGCCTAAAACATTCCTCGAAATAAATAAATAAAATAAATAACTATATATCATTCTATATGTTATCTCATAGGCACTATGTATCATACAATGTGTCTGATATGTAAACATATCAGACACATTTGTGCTTGATACAAATTATATCCGACACATTGTTGTCGGACAAATTATTGTATCAAGCACAATGTGTCTGATGCATATAGAATGCATCAGGCACACAGGTAAAAAAAAAAAAAATACCTTAGCATTGTTGAATAAATCATCTGCAATAGCCTCACTTTGTTTACGCTTTTTTTCTTCCTTCACAGACTCTGCTACTCCCTCATTCTCATATTCAGACCCTCTGCCACATATTTCAGTATATAAATAAATAAATAAATCATTCCAAATTTTTTTCATTTTATATACACGAATAAAACCAAATTCAAATGTATGTCATCGTACTTGTATGGATTCTTTGAAAAAGGCACAAGATTGTAGAAACTATTTCCTGATTGAGTTTCCATCTGCATATAAATTTAACCTTTAAAAACAAAAACATAAAACAAGTACTAATAATATAAATAATTTACCTTTTTAAATCGTTTAAAGTCCAAAACTTGGTTTTTAGTAGGAGAAGGAACAGAAGATGGTAAATTTGTATCTCGAATGATCAAATCTTGGCTAAAAATAACATCTGATATCCCATTTACAGGTGTAATTTCATCATCATTTGTATCATTTGTGGCTATATTTATGTATTCATCGGTTTTTATTGGATCATGAACAATAGTTTCCACTTCATGTTGAACAGATTCCACATTATGAACAAGGGATATTTTCCCTTTTTCATCTTCAACAGATTCTAATTTTTGACTTTTACAAGATGTAGAAACTGATATGACTTCTATTTCTGGCTCTGAATCTGCTACAATTGTCTCATCCGTGGAGCATGAGGACGTGACATGTTCTGCAATTGGAAATTAAAGATATTTTTATTTTTTATAAACTTTAAACATTTGTAATAAGCTAAATGCAAGAAACAGCAGGACAATGACATGGCATGAAAACTTGTTACCTTGTGCCATGTCATCATAATCCAACATTGTTACAATGGGTAAATTTTGTAAAAGTACAATGCCCTAATAAGGAATAATTTTTGAAGTACAATTCTATAATAATTAAAAAAAAATTAGAAAGTACATTGCTATTTTGTATATAAAAAGGAGATATTACCAGGTGGTGATACAAAAAGAAGAGGATCCAGGTGTCCAGATAACGTAGCACAAATCAAATTAATTTCACTCACTTTTGGTAAAGATGTAATAATATGTGTACACTCAAAACCCTCTTCGACAGAGATGACATGTACAGCATGATTGTTTTCATCTTCTTCTAAACCCTGAAAAAAAAAGATTTTTTTTTTTTTTTAAATTTAATTGGAACATAATTTAATACATAAAGAACGACTTAATAGAAACCTGGCTTTGGGGAATGAATTCTTCAACAGGAATAACTTTTGCACCAAATGTTTCAAGTAATGGTTGCAACTTTTCCTTAACTTTATACTGTGAAACAGTTTATAAACATAAGATTTTATAAATTAAAATGAAAAATAGAATGCATCATAAAAAAAAAAAAAAAAAGAGAATATACCTTTTCTGATGATTCCAGAAGAAAAGTGTATCCATTTAAACAATTTTCTCTAGATTCAATGTTAGCAATTTTAACAGAAACTCCTTGCAACATCAAGGTATGAGGATCACTGTAGGGAAAAGAGTAAATATATTTTTATGATTATATAAAAAATAATAATATA